TTTGGAGTAAGGCAGGGGACACACACGACCCTCTTCACCACACAGCTGACTTGAGATTTTCTTCTTTGCTAGACAGACTGTGAGTTCCCAAGGCTCATCGAGTGCCTGGATCATTTTAGACACATAAAAAGTAGTTAATGATTCAAATGAAAGATCGATTGGGAATATTAGGAAGGGGACATTTAATCACTATCTATAAAAATAGGGTTTTAACCAGTACCTTTTAAAAACAGGGTTCCAAAGAGTAGGGTTCTGGAAGTTGAGCAGACAGGGCTTTGTGTGGCATCACCAAAGCCATGGATATGGATTTCAATTGGGTTTCAGAACAAGCTAGGAATGGGGGATAAGCCTGGAAAGTTCTGTTTGAATCAAATGCCTGAATGCCAAGCTACAGAGTTTGGAATATACAGAAGATCTGAAGAATTACTTGCTTTTTCTTTGCTGAGGTGCTTGTGTATGCCGCAGCAGAATGTGGACAGCTCTTATTTATCTGAATATTAAAACATGAAAAATGTCCCATCAAGAATCTTTGAATTATTCTTTCTCTTTTTGGGCCACTCTTTTAACCTGATTCCTGCTTGTTAGGATGAAGTGAGGGGGAGAAAGGAATGGAGATAAAACTGAAAGTTCATTTAGTTCCTTTGTTCTTAGATATGACATAGACGAAGAGACTAATATTAATTTATTACAATCAGAACTATATTGCTTTTAGCCAGAGGCTGTTTTAAGACATGGGCAAAGAGTAGGTTAATTTAATTTTGAAAATACGTTACAAAGATCAAGGCGATACAAAGTTAGACTAGATTTCTGAGTGGAATCATAAGTAACATTGAGAATTAGCTTTGTAAAAGGAGTAATATGATAAATATACCACCCACAATCTATTAACCAGTGTCTAAAGTAATTTTGCTCTGAACTTTAAAGCAGAAATGCAATTAATGAGTATAATGGCTTTTGAAATCACATATGGATTGTATTTGTCCAGAGTTTTCTTTTGGTCTGATCAGTCCTCAGAATCTATAATATCATAAATACCATAAAACATGCATGTGCTAGATTCAGAGAAAGAGTTTCAACTATTTTCCACTTGTCTTCACCAATATATAAAGGGAAATGGAGACATCTGCTGCTAGCACTTACAGTTATAACGTGCCAACATGGAAACACTTATAATAAGGTCTCTGCCTATAGCTGCCAAATTTGTTATTTATTTCATTTCTGTCCCTATTATTGTATCTCTCCAGGATTCTTTAAAAGTGAGGTGATTGTTTAATTAACAGATAATCATTTTCCAGTGTGACTTATTCACGCATGATGTAATTGTTAATACATGATGTACCTAACCCATGTGTGTACACAGGCACTAAACAGTGACTGGGTTAACTGGGAACGTTGATTTGATTAAGTGATCAGATTATCGATAAATTCTGTCCTTTATTTCTCTCTAATTTTTTATAATAAAGTAAAATACATACATATTTTTAAGAGAATCCATGCCTAGAGAAATATTCATGAATTTATCCTCTTGGTACATTATATTCTAAGAAACATTTTGCTATGATGATAGTGAATAATAAATATGAAATGATAATGGAACTTTTTATATCTGCCATTTCATTTCATCAATGCAAAATTAGCAGCCATAATGGGAACCACCATCTGGGAGATGTTTTAAGCAGCTCCATTTAAATTCCTTCTGGAATTTGACAGGCACGAGTTATAAGAAAAGATTTGGAGAGAGTGGCCCATTTAAAAGAGAACAAAGTGTTTTAGTTTGGCCCAAAATAACAGTCTTCTAGGAGACATATGTCTTTACTCGTGGGGAAAGGTGACACTTAAATCCATCTCCCAAAATGTTCTCATCATTTTATCTAGCCTTGGCACTCTGGCCTCCCTGACCCCCAACATCATGTTGCCTTGGAAAATTTCCAGTTGTCTCTTTAAAATTGCTAAAACCACTGGAAGGACCCAGCAAAATTATCATACTATAATGTAAGCAACCTAGAAGTGACAACATGTGCCTACCTGTATCTGCCTTGGCAAGCCATCCCCTCCATGGGCCTTACTTAGGGCATATGTGGAGCAATAGATGCCTTTCAGAACTGAGTTGAAAATCTTAAAGTCCTAGGCAGGTCCTAGGCAGCAGAACCATCCGGACTCTCCATTTCATTCATCCTCCATAGCACTGGTTCACACTTAAGTCTAGCATTACCTTAGAGTTAACTGGTTATGTGTCTGCTTTCCTTCCTTATCACTGTGCATTCTTTGTAACCCTGTGTCTACTGTAGTCCCGAGAAGACAGAAGGCATTTGGTTTCAAGTAGAGTGGAAGAGGATAGATTTGGAAGCAAGCATATGTGGAATCCAATCCTAGTTTTATCTACTATGATTTTGGATTTTGTTAACCTTTCTGAGCCTGTATCCTAAAAACAGTCTCCAGTAGCCATTTCACAAGGAGCTGGGAATCAAACAGGTAATGGATGAATAGCCCATTGTAGACTCTGAATAGTCTCTGGTTGTTAGTCTGTCAATGCTGATCCTCTTAAGGATCTTTGTGTGTATCAACTATGCACCTGTCAGGTCTGTGGAGAGCTTAGAGATTAAGATAGACAGCTTTCTCCTCTCAGGATGTGAATAGTCTGACATTGTGATTTTTCTGCTAAATATTTGTTTTGGTTGGCTATCAGGCTTAAACTTGGGTGGACCCGTCATTAAATGCATTGATTGGTTTCTAGCCTCTTGTTTCTTCGTGTGGATCCCCTTATCCTAAGGATGAGAGTACTCGGTTCCATATGGCACCTGGTCTTGGTGGCTCAGTATCAGCACTTTTGCAAACTATTTGTTCTCTGCTGCATTGCTAAGCCTCAAGAGTGTTTCCGAATTACAGAAGTGATGATGTCATATCCCAGCAGAATAAAAATTAGAAAACCTCCCATCCTAAAATTACAGTGCAGCATACTTTGTTATTACAATTAGGTAACCATGCTTTATGAGGAAAGGCAGCTATCTCTGGCCCACATCTCCCACTCTGGTGGGAGAGACTGTCCACAAGCACAGTATAATGCTAGTGTATAAAGTTCTACAATGGGAGTTTGAATGGAGTTCTTGACACAGAGGGGATTATTACTAAAACTATTCCCTGGTAGAGCCAGAATATGCCTTGCAGAGGAGGCAGCATTTGAACTAGCATGAGCTAGGTAGGAATGTTGGATTTTGTCAGGTAGAGACAAATAATAGGTATTGTAAGTGGTTAGAAAAGCATGTGCAAAGGCCCAGCTATAACAGGGTATGGCAGGGTGGGGAATAGCTTTAGCCCTGCAGTTCCACATCTCAAGAGGGGGTATGTGGGGATGGATGGATGGGGATGGGGAAGGTGGAGAGATAAGAAAGTCAGATACATTGGGTCCATATTGTAAAGGACCTGGTGTTCTAACTCAGGAGTTTGAATATCATACTGTGAGCTGCCAGAAATATACTGGACGGCTCTTAATATCTCTGGATTAAAAAAATAGCACATGAAATAATTTGTATTAAAGATCTAGTGGTTTATTAGGAAAGCAGTGACTGACTAGTGTGAGTAATGATCTTCTGAACCTAAGGAACACAAGAACAATTACAGTCCTGAGGGAGGTAAGCTGGGGTCTGGGCCCCTGTGGAAAGAGAGGCCGTGGTCACAGTGCACTGGCTGGGGCCTGCCCTGGGGAGGCTGGCCACACCACACCCTCCTGCATGCCCTTCCATGACCACTGTCTGGATTTGTGTTTTGCAGTTCCATGGAGAATGGGAGACCTCCTGATCCCGCAGACTGGGCTGTGATGGATGTTGTCAATTATTTCCGCACAGCAGGATTTGAGGAACAAGCTAATGTTTTTCAAGAACAGGTAACTTGGTCTAGAGAAACACGTGATGTGCATGATTACCTCTCTTTCCCACAGTGGGTGGAAGAGAGTGAGGAGGAAGAGGTCCTGAGAGCGAAGAGGGGCCAGTGAGGCTCTGCATGTCTCCATATCACATCCTGATCACACCAGGCCCTAAGAAACAGGAGGGAAGGGGGAAGAATGAAGGTGACATGAGAGTGATTCCTTCCTCCCAGAGGAGAACCTACCCCTGAGCCATCTGTGGCTGCTGAAAGGGAAACTAATGCTCCTTTACTCCTGCACCTTCTGAAAGACAGAACAGTCTGGCCTTTAACACAACACATTAGAAGGCAGCTCAAAGACATGCAACACCATCTGCTACTGGTCTTTGGCACTAGCTGAGCTATTACACCTACTCCAAATTGCTTGCCAGGTGCTTAGCAAAAAGGTGAAAGGAGCACAGGATTTAGAGTCAAATCCTGTTTCTAACTCTCTGTGACCCTAGCCAAGTTACTACTTCTCTCTGAGTATTGGTTTCACATCTGTACCATGAGGCTGCCGATGGCTAACTCTGTAGGGTGGTATGGTGAGGCCTGAAGGACCATGTGCACAGTGCCTTGGAGGGGCCCTGGCAGATGCTGATGCCCTCAGTGTTGATTCCCTTCCCTCAGGTCCAGGGTTGGTACTGGAAAGAGGAAGGAGCAGGGGCCTTCCTAGTCAACTGGGTGATTCCTGACTCCATGTTTCAGGCTGGGCAGCTTTCTAGGGATGGGCTCATGGGGCTTTGACCATGAGGCAGCGAATTGGGGAACATGTGACTGCAAGACCAGCTCTGTAGGGAAGCACAGAGTTCCTACCTCCCTGTCAGTGATGGCTGCAGTTTTCTAAGCATTCAATTTACTTTTCTAATATTGTAATATAATTGAGAGAATTATAAACTGAAAAATATGTGTGGATGCTTCTTTCCCATCCTTTTAGCCATCTCTGATTCTCTTATGCTAGGTTTGAAAAGGGGAACTTTTCTAATATCAAATATGCCAATCTCTAGTTTTCCTTCAATCAACATTTCCTTCCCTATACATACATATTTTTGCTAGTTTGGAAAATTTGCCAAAATAACAGCTTAACTCACTTCATATCCACCAGAATAGCTAAAATTAGAAAGATTGATAAGTCCAAATGTTTACAAGGTTATGGAACAACCACACTCTCCTCCATTGTTGGTGGGAGTGTAAAATAAACACTCATACTTCTATCCCATGATCCAGCAATTTCATTCCTAAGTATTTACACAAGGGAAATGACAACCTGTGTCCACAAAAGATTTGTACAAAATTGTTCTTAGTAGCTTTATTTATAATGGTCACAAACCAGAAGCCTAAGTGCCCATCAATAGGGGAATAAATATGTAAACAGTGGTGTGGTCACACAATGCAATAAGACCTAGTAATAACAAGGAATGAACTACTGATATATGCAACCATTTAGATAAATCTCAGCACATTATGCCTGAGTGAGAACCTTACACAAAATTGTTCATATTGAATGGTTCCTGTCTTAGTCTGTTTGGGCAACTCTACAAAAATTCCAGAAACTGGGTGCCTTACAGACATTTATTTCTCACAGTTCTGGAGGCTGGGTAGTACAAGATTAAGACAGCTGCAATCAGGTGTCTGGTGAGGGCCTACTTCCTAGCTAGCTGTCTTTCCATACCTTCACATGGAGGAAGGGATAAGAGAGCTCCCCGGGGCTCCTTTTATAAGGGTGCTGTTCTCATTCATGAGGGCTCTGCTCTCATGACCTAATTATCTCCCAAAAGCCCTATCTCCTAATACCATTACCAAGACCCCTAATGCCGCTTGGGGATTAGGTTTCAACATAGGAATTTTGTGGGAACACATTCACATTCAGATCATAACAGTTCCATTTAGGTGAAGGCTGAAAACAAGAAAACACATCAATGGTAGAAAAAAAATCAGAACAGTGATTGCCTCTGGATAGGCAGAAGTGGTGAATGACTGGGAAGGGGCCTGAGGGAACATTCTGGGTGATGATAATGTTCTCTGTCTTGATAAGGGCTGGGCTACAGGTATATGTATTAATCACTGCATATGCACATATATAGGCAAATGAGTCAGGTTTGCCCATTAAGTAGCCTATAAATTTTATCTCAAAAAGAAAACTAAAAAAATATTAACAAGTAATGGTATGACAAATGAAGTATTTAGGGGAGAAGTATACTGATGTATATAACTTAATTTGGAATCCATCAAAATATGGACTGACAATTGGAAAGAGGGATGAGTATATAGGTAGATAATAAAGTCAGTAGAAAAGATCTTCATGATAGAATCTAGGTGGTGGGAATATTAGTGTGCACTGTAGTGTTCTCTCACTATATCACTGTAGCATATAGTGTGTATTACTGTAGAGGTACCACTATAATATTCTTAGATTTTAGTTTGGTTTTTAGTGGCATGTCTATTTGTGTCATTGCAGTTGAGTAATTCCCTTCTAAAATTAAATTAAAATAATATTGTGAAAGGCTAACACAAAAGGACTGGCTAAAAGGTCTCTTGACCAGATTCCCAGCTTCCCAAAAGCATTTCTCAGATTGAGCTTTCGCTCAGACTCTTGAGGCAGATGTCCCAGGTTGGGGAGGGGGCAGGGTGGTCTTTGAGCCTTCTGGATTCTGTGTAGGACCTCAAAACAGACCTGGCCTGCTCTGAGCTTGGCCCAGGAGCAGGCCTTTCCCTCCAGGGATGACATCACTCTGGCACAAACGACACCGGGAGGAAAAGGGAACAAACTCTTCCAAAGCATTTCATTCAGAAGTCCTTCAAGTGGGGAACATCATTTTGCTACTGTGTTGAGCCCAACTCAGGAGCCTGAGAAACAAATTCTCAGGACATTTGAGTTTTGCAAGCATGGTCTAGAAACTTGAGTTCCTTCATTCTCATGGAAGGGAGTTGGCATAAAGGAAAGAGTCTGTCTGCCTTAAATTAGTGTCTGGAAGTGATGCAAGTCTTCCTTCTGCTGTGAAATTCTCCTTGTCTTTCTTCTCATTAAAAGAGGTAGAGGGTGAGAGGGGATCACTGGCCAGGCTCAGGCTGATACGACAGCTGCTGCAGTTTTCATGAGGGTAGAGGGTCAGGACCCTCTACCACGTTAACCAGCATCTCCTGTTGTCATGCCTCAGAGGCCCTCAGTGTTTCACCCCCAAGGACCTCCCTGGCAAGAAACTTCAAGCAGTTAGCAGTCACTCCTTAAGTTCATCCCAGATGGGAAGAGATGCAGGCCACTCCCATCCAAACACATGACCCTTCCAGGCACATCTTCCAGGTCATAGCAGCTGAGAAACAATAAGGGCCACATCCTTAAATCTAAGGGAAAGCTTTGCCCCGCAGGCATGGAGAGGATCCCCTAAGCCACCTCAGGAAAGGACGGGTCCGGGAACGGGAGCACAGTTGCCAGTGCTGTGGGGAGCTCAGTCTCATGGCTGAGAGCTTGTTCTTTCTCTCCCTGCCATGTGAGGGTAAGCAAGAAGGCAGCCATCCGCAAGCCAGGCAGAGGGCCCTCATCCAGTGCCCGGCCAGGTTGGCACTGTGATCTTGGACTCCAGTCTGCAGAACTGTGAGAAAGAAATTTCTGTTGTTTGAGCTACCTGATCTGTGCTCTCCTGTTGGAGCAGCCTGAGCTAAGACGCGGACACTGCTGCTGGACATGTCCCCCGCCAGGTGGGCTGACTCTCAGGAGAGTGCCTGTCTTTGTGGTATGGTGTCACAGTGTGTTACTGGATATCCTTTTGCTATAGCAACCACACTCAGCTGGGGCTTTCTAGCAGCATGGCCCCTTGGAAGATGTTGGGCCACTTAGTGAGATACGTCTGGAGGGGAGGAATGGTGTCCTGTGGTATATATGGAGAGGCAGCTGGATTTAGGGGTGCATAACCTCCTTCTCTCTGTGCAGGCACACTGCCACATGACAGTTATCTCCACTAATTTTCCCCCTGGTGCACTTATCTACATCAAGTGTTCTTCCGGTGAGCCTCTTTAAGCCTTCTATGTGAGCCCCAGCTACAAGCCAAGAGATGTCACAAGGGAAGGTCCAGCCCCCCACTGGTGACCCAGTGTGAACAGTGTGTGTGGGGGGTGTTGTATTACTCTTCTGGCCAATCCCTTTTTATGAGCCATGATGCTGCTCTTCTTTGACTCACTGGCTTCATTAGCTTAATGCCTCAGAGGGTTCCCTGGCCTGTAAGAGCCCGAGGAAGTGGGAGTCCCTCCTTGGAGAAGGCCGTGACTGCAGCCCAGTCAGTACTCTCTCTCTCTCCCACAGATGCCGTGATGTGGAGGCTATTTCCCCAAGGGCCTTTGGGCAGGTAGACCTCTGAGGCTGTGGCAAGAGTGGGAGACATGACTCCTGGCTTGTTTTCTCCTGACCGACTCATGCTCTCTGGATGATCCTGGAGAATTTGCCTTCTAGGACTCAGATTTCTATAAAGCGAATATTGATTTAAACAAGCAGAACATTGCTCGAGCTCCTGCTTGAACAGTCATGTTATCTTAGAACCAGCCCTCATGAAGTGCGCTTCCAATGTGCAGCATAGGGCACAAAACCACTTGAAATGTTGTGTATACACAGTTGAATTTTTGTGAGTGGATGACAGAAAAATCAGCATTGCCCATGGATATGGTTGCCTGGTTTTCAAGTCAAAGATACTTCAAGAATTTTACTTTTCTAAGAGCTTTAGTATTTAAGAGGGAACCTTTTAACCTTTTAACCTCATTCAAAAGTGTCTCCACCTTCCTCATACAGAACATTAGGAAAAGGTTTACTTTGTCCAACTTGAAAGGGAAAATGAGCACCATTCTCTGGTGTGAAGCCATCTCTATTGACGGTGGAATTCTCACTGTCCAGCACAGCAGCTTTACCATGTGAACCGGACTCTTAACAGCAGGTCACAAAGGCAGTTCTGCCACCTCTAGTGTGTGTCACTTCTAGGTCTGTGTCTATCTGACTCACATACTCAGACTCTACATGGAGAAGATGGGAGAGAGAGATCTGCCTTCAATCAATGTCATATTATTCATATTGTGCAGATTCTTCAAACTTATAATTGAGTGACATCAGTGATTCTGTTTCTAGAACAATATGTACCACTGAGAGAATTTTTTTCTCAGAGTCTCCTTATAAAATAATATGGAGTTCATGGTGACAAATTAATTTTATTCTAGTTAGCTCCTCACTTTCTCCAACCTCATTAATGAGAACAGTATTTTGCTCTTAAATGCCCAACTGGTTATTTCAGCCATTCAGTTGAAATGCAAAGATTGGCATTCTTGTCAGGTGAGTTATTGCCAACTTTTGATACATTTCTGAGGCCACTGACTTGAAAAATATAAATAAAATTTCTTATTGCTGCAAGTCCCAAGTAACACCAACTACTTCCAAGTGGAGAAGTAAGTGGAGAGACCAATCAGAGCCACCCTTAGCACAGCATCCTTAGTCATGGCCAGATGGATCTCAACAAAGTGACTCTAGGTTGATATTTCTAATTAGGCTTGGGAAAAATCCAGAGTTGGGAAGAGTTAAAGCTTACGTAATTCTAAGAGCCTTCCTTGGGAAGGAAATCAGAGAATGAGGAGTATGAAGCTGCTAAGGCAAAACTTAAGCTTTATGCTAAATCCAGCTCTGAATTAGACCAGTTAAAACCCCACAAATTGGTAATAACTTTTATTACTCTATCATCTTTTTATAATACCAAGTCCTAAAAATATTGAAACTGTGTTGACATCTGATATTTCTTAACAGTTGAGGGCTTCTGAAATGCTTAAAATATTTTATAGAATAATGAAAAGAGGAAGTGGCAACCCAACCTTTCAGACCGTAAATATTGAGAGAAGCATTAACAAGCGAACAGATGATGCTAACAATAAGAAAATGACCAAGGGAACTGAAAGAAAAACTGATAAGGAGCAAACTGTTTGGATTTTTTATTGAAATAGAATAGATTTCTAGAAACCCCAAATCCCAAATGGTTGTTCGTACCCTTTGTTTGAAATGAGAGCAGTTATAAGACATTAGAAGATAGCCAGGTACATGGTGCTTCTTTTCTTCACTTGTTCCATTGTTTCCATAGGTGGTGTAGCTTTTCCTAATAGTCATTCAAATAAATGTAAGACTATTAATGTGAAATAATGCTCATCAATATGAAACCACTGTATGTATAAGAACCATTTGAAGGAAGCACAAAAAATTCCAGGTAGAGGGAAGATCAGATACAAAGGCCTGATGACATGAAAAAACGTGGTTTACCTTGAGAACTCTTTGGAGTAAGAGGTATGGAGCAGGGGGTGCCAAAGACTGAAAGATAAGCAAGTGCTCAGATATTATCTGGTTTGCCTGGCAGAACAGAGACTTTCCCTGAGAGGCACCAGGTGACCAGTTTGGGATATTCAGTGTGGGATGTCTTTGGAAGATCCATCCAGTGGCCGTGTGGGAGGACAAGGAGACGGGAGGAGTCTGCAGCAGTACTGCTGTAATAGCTCCACTAGGAGGGAAAGGAAGAGAGAGATTAAAAAGTCTGGGGGAGATGGTCAGAAGAATTTAGGGGATCACTGGCAGTGGAGGTTGAAGATGTGTCTGGTCTCAGTTTTCTGCTAAAGCCGCAGGACCAAGCTCGCTGCTCACAGCTGGGAGAGGCAGAAGGCTCACATGACTGCCCTTTTCCAGACTGGGTGGTTGTAAGGTAGTGCCATTAACTAGAATGTTTGTGGGAGGTAAGTTTTAAAAGTGGTATAATGAGCACAGCTTGGGACACATTAAATTTAGGGGCCTGCAATACATCTAAGTGGATATATTTAGCAGACAGCTCCGGGGAAGAGTGAGACCCAGAAACAAGGGGAGCCTGCAGCAGTCATAGGAGTGGGTGAGAATGAGGCAGTACTCAGAAGGGGAGGAGAAAAAGGCCAAGGACATCCCCTGGGGAATACCAAGGCTTTTGTTTTTAGAAGGCAACAAGCAAAAGCCCTGTAACAAGGTCAGATACCTCAAAAAGGTGAAGCTCTGTGGGGTCTCTGAAATGCCATGGAGTTTCAGTGGACTTGGGGGCAGGAGTGTGGATGACTGTTTGTGGGAGGAGGACCCTTCCGTCCACGCTGAGGAGTGCGTGGGAGACAGGAGAGCGGAGGAAGAACCAGCAGCGTCATGCAGGCACGAGGTCTCTTTTCTAAGACAGGAGACACTCACACTGGTCTACACGCAGGGAAGCAGCGGAAAGAATGGGACAGATTAAATGCAATGTAGTTGAGGACAGTTAAGTGAAGCAAACTGCCTGAGGATATGGAAGGGAATGAGATTAAAAGAGTCTGGAGGGCTGAGGATTTGGCAGAATTGGAATCCTTATGTGTGGCTGGTGGGAAAGTAAAATGGGGCAGCCATTGTAGAAAAATGTTCAGCAGTTCTTCAAAAATTAACCATAGAATTACCATGTGACCCAGTAATTCCACACAAAAGGATTGAAAAGAAGGACTCAAACAGATACTCGTACATAAATGTTCACTGCAGCATTATTCACAGCAGGAAACAATCCAAGTGTCCATGAATAAATGAAGGGATAAACAAAACGTAGATGATATATACAATGGAATATTATTCAGCCATCAAAAGGAATGAAGTGCGGATACATGCTACAACATAAATGAGCCTTGAAAACATTATGCTAAGTGAAATAAGTCAAATATTGAATGATTCCATTTATATGAAATATTGAAAACAGGTAAATTCATATAGAAACAGAAAGTAGATTAGAGGTCGTCAAGGACTATGTGAGAGGGAGAAGTTATTGATTAATGGGGTTTCAGTTTGGAGTGAAGGAAGAGTTTAAAACAGCGATGACTGAACAACATGTGATTGAATTGTGCACTTAAAAATAGTTAAAATGGCCTGTTTCATTTATGTTTTACCACAGTAAAATAAGATATACACAGTGATTCAGTTCGGTCATTAAAATATTCAACTATTTCATTTTTTAAAAAATAATAATAAGGGATTAATTCTGAGCAAGACAGGGAAACTTCCTCCATCTTTCTGTGCTCGGGGGCCTACGTAAAGATGTGTGCAGATACAGCAAAGATTGCCCTTGTCCTCGGGGACATTAAGAGAGTTCCTGACAGTCTCTTTTCCTTTGCTAAATGAGAGGCAAGCTCCTCTGCTTGGAGTAGAGGTTTAGTGAGGGCCTAGAACACAGCAGGGAAGGTCAGGAACGCCCCCTAGGGGAAGGGGAGAGGCAGCTGACCATGGGCAAACAGCAGGGCCGCTGAGGTAGCCTATTGACGGGGCCAACATCGTACACTGCGTGTGTGTAGTGTTTCATTTTCATGGCTTCTTGAATTGTTTCCCCTCCATAGAGTCAGAGAAGCTGGATGGCGGGGCTGCTGTGGGTGAGGTGTTCGTGGCCTGGGCACGGACGAAGGCTCATAGCCTGAGAGGGCAGTTTGAGAGGGCATGTGAAAGACTGTCCCCGGGGCCAACCAGGGGGGCTGACTTGGAACAGAAGAGGAGTCTGAAGGGGACACATAACCCTGGAGACAGTGGAATTGAAATGAAAAAGTGGGTCTGAAAGGGAGTGAGGAGTGAGAGAGAGAATAGCATAGGGGACTTGCAGTGTTGCAGAAATAGGACTCTTCTGGTTGATAACATAAGAGTAGGTATTAAAAATGAAGGGGAGGTGGCAGAAAGGGTTGGTGTATTAGAGTAGACAAACTGCTGTCACAGGTAGATGAAAACATGTATAATGGCTTGGGTACTGTGGAAGTTTATTTCTTACTCATATAAAAAGCCCAGGTGGTGGGTGGGGATGTTCTGCTTCACTGCCACTGAAGGACCAGGCTGATAGAGGCTCTGCCTCTTCCTCCGGAAGCTTTCGAGGTCATCTGGGCACTGGCATCCAGTTGATGAAAGGGTACAGAGCCCGGAGGAGCACATACGGGCCCGACCTGAGAAGGGCGCACACCATCCCTTCACATGTCATTGGCCAGAACGTGGTCACACGGACACGCCAAACTGCAAGGAAGCCTAGGGAATGTGTAGTTGTGTGTCCTGCAAAACGAGTGACCAGCAGCCCTTGCTGCACTCAAGCTTTAAAGCCTTTTTAACAAGCATTTGCTGTGATGATGTTCCTAGTTAGTTTTGTTCTTAAGGCCAGAAATAAGATTTCAGAAAGGCTGATTTTAAAAGGTCACCTGGAGTGAAGAAGCCTTACCTGCCCATATGCGAGAAGCCTTCACTTCTCATTCTGCTTCTTAAATCTTCTTTTAAACCTACACAGACATCTTTTCACCCAGTTTCCTCATCTGATGAAGTGAGTTAAATTCTTCTTCCTTCATCAGAAATGTGTGCAAGATTTTTTTTAATAGATCCCTCTATCACCCACTTTATCACCCAGCCGCAAATATTAAATAACACAGGGAGACACCCAGTAAGTCACTGAAGGCATTAGGCCTCACAATGAGCCAAAATGGATTTTGTGCCTGATTTAAGTGCAAGATCCATTTTGCTTCTGTTACTTTAATGAATGAGGTAAAGACTTCGTTTTGAGCTACACAAATAATTTCTGTTAACAAGCTGCTAAGTGTTGCTTTTAAACTAGGTGAAGTGTCTCCAATATGTATATTGTCCATCCCAAATTTGCCACCAATAGGAATGCAAGGCAGACAGCAGGAGCTGAGCCGTTGGCTCACGTCGATCTCACAGTCACTCCAGAGGGTGGGGTGGGGGCCGGGACATCATAGGGGACACCTGCCCCAGACAGGAAGTTCTCTCCCAGGAGACTTTGTCCTGAGAACCATGTCGTAGTAAGATTCCACTGGCCTTGGTGTGGACGTCAGTAGTTCACCATTTTCCTTTCCAAAGTTATATGGAAATTCTTTGGAAAATAAATTCTGGGACTTGGTGAGGGAAGGTCCTTTAAAGAAATATGGTGAATTACGACAAAGTAGTAGGGGTGCCTCAGATTGCTTCCCCCTCTGATATTAAGAGGGCTTATCACCAGTTAGCCCTTCAGGTACACCCAGACAAGAGCCCAGATAACAAGGAGGAGGCTGAGGAGAAATTCAAGCAAGTTGCAGAAGCCTGTGAGGACAAGCCTCTGATGCCAAAACACACGGCAACTATGACAAGTCCAGAGAGAACTGCATCAAAAGGGGGCACAGAGGAGATGGCAGAAGACCCAACCTGTCTGAAGAAACTGTGGTCTGAGAGGCTACACTGTAGCTTTCAAAATGCCTTTGAAAGTGAAGACTTCTCAGGAGATTGTTTTTCCACCAGCCGTTTGGGCAGGGCCAGGAGCTTCTGCTGCTCCTTCTTCGATGTGACCTCCATACTGGACACAGGATTTTCCACTTTTGTATCCCTGGGCGCCAAACCAAGTCCCTGTTCCTTTGGGATGTTTGCACCCTTTGTAAGCAGCGGAATGGGAAACTTCAGACTGGTCACCACTTGTACTCAGATAGTGAATGGCAAGAGAGTTGTTAGAGAGAAAGTCCTAGATAATGTTAAGGGGAAGAGTGAAGTAGAAAAAGAATGCCCATCTCATCAGATCCTTCCACATCACTGGTAAGGAGTTGCTATGCTCTTTCACAAGGAGACTTGCCTGTAAGGCTGGTAAGTCTGACACTTATCAAGGACAGACTGGAATCTGTGAGTATGCTGAACTGGAATGGACAGCAGTCAGCTTAGTCCAAAGCTCTCGTCTCACAGAAGAAGGGATGGGCCAGATGTTACACAAGGAGCTAGGAAGCAGCAGAGTTTGGCTTCCAGCCTGTATCCTCTGATTCTACATCGAGCCTTCTGTTCCCCTGCACTATATTTGGGACAGTAGTGACCACCGCCCAGATGCCATCAGAGTCAGTTCTCTACCATCATAAATCCCACTGACTTCTTCCCAACTGTTTTCCTGCTGGTTAGTTACCTTGCTGATATCCAGTTGCCTCTTTCTTAATGGCCTGTCTTCTCTCTTCCTAGCCTCTTTTTCTCTGCTTCTCTTTCCACCTCTTCTTCTTTCCTCCCATTTCCAGGGGACCATATCACATTAGGCTCCAGGGAAAGAGGTGCCTCAGTGTAGGTTACTGTTGGCGCAAAAAGTGAAAAGTAAATGGCTTAAGATTTTTTTATGTACTTTTTTAAATAGCTATCATTTATTGAGTGGTCAGGAGATGTTAGGAATTCTACTTCAGTTGTGTTATCTCAGTAGTCCTGTAAGCAGTGAAATATAGTAGCTGCTCTCCTCTATCATATAGATAAAGATATGAGGCTTAGAAAGATTACATAACTTGCACCAAGCCCCACCAAATAAGCAATAAAATAGTGTCTGACTCTGAAACACAAGCTTATCTACTGAGCTATAATATCTGTGGATCCTATTCATTTATTTTTAGATCTAGGGTCTTGCCTCTCACTGGAAATTTACACCTGGCATCTCTAAACCTTACTTCCATGCATGAGTACTTGCTGGAACTTAAGAATATGCAAACATTTTTAATGTTATTGCCCAACAGATACTTGGTCACTCTTACAATAAGACAAAAGATGGAGCAATGTAAAAAGTTTTGCTGAAACTAACGAGTGATTGTCCCTTAACACAAAAATGTAAACTGAATCCCAAGATGTGTACTAGTTTTTTGTTTGGGCTTTAATTATGATTTACATGCAAAATCATGGGATTTTTGTTTGTTTGTTTGTTTAATTGGATCTGACCACACTCCAACCCCTTTTTTTATACTTATGAACATAAGTATAACGGGGGACCAGAAAAGTGATTCCCTGTGGAAAACTACTGGTGGAGTCTGCATTTGGTCCTCTGTCTTCCAATTTCCAGTCTCCTGCTGAGTCTAGTACAGCATGCTGACAGGCAAAATTTGGATTTCTTTTGCATCGCAGTCTTTTATGGAAGTTATATAACAAATGATTGGCATTCTTAATCAAGGAACTTTCCTGTGTTTGCAATTTTTATGAGACGAATGTTTTATGTAGCCTTTGAACTTTTTTAATCTCAGTGAATTTTCTGAAACAGGAATATGCCTGTATTCCTCTGGCAAAGGGTAGCATTCGGGCAGGGAGCACACTTCTAGAAAGGAAGCAGAAGGCAGATTTGGAATTGGACACATCCCACTTCTTTCAAAGCCTCTACATTTCCACACAGTAGTCTTTGCGAACTTCTTATATGTCAGGCAGTGTGCTAGGTGCCTTATATTTCTAATATCCAAAATCCTTTAGGGGTTTATTTCTATTTTACAAGTAAGGAAACTGAGGCTTAGGGAAGTTAAGTCTCTTACCTGGGTCACACAGTAAGTTGTAGAGATAGGGTTCAGACTGCAGCTTGCTCGACCTAGAAGTTCACGTTTCCACTATCCTGTATTATGTATCATCTGAAGGGCTATCATCTTGGTTAAAGAGGAAAGCTTTGTTATATGTGTGAATTATGTTCATTTCAAAATTTTTTAAATGAGCTCTTCTAGATGGAGCTTCCGTTGCCCCAGCCTAGTCTGAGGTGAACAGTAGTGTGGCCATGAACCAAGGAAAATCAGATTGGAGCATAAAACATAATTTTCCATTTGTCTTAGATAAAATCCAAATTTCAGCATTTTTCACAGACATACTTGATTTTGGTAGAAATGCTGAGTTGTAGAAGGATTTTCTGCCGGCAAAGATTAAAAAAAATTTCACTCTCAGTTAGCCAAGGAAGTTTTTTTGTTGTATAAAAATGAAAGCAGCTTTTCCTGATGCCTGTTTAAAATACATTAAATGTAAGCAAACAACAGCAAAGGAAAGATGAAGAGCAGGAAGGGCTGTGCTGGTTTTCAAAGCATTGCAAGTGAGTCTTCATCTCAGTGCTTAAGATAGAACGTGAGCTTTGCAGTTACTTGTGACTCAGATTCCTATGGCTTCACATGCCTTCAGAGCAACCACTGTGTTCCCAGGTGTCCAGGGGTCCTCTGCTGACTCTCACACTTGCAGGTTTTACTGATGGGCAGTCTTTGGAATTTGTAGCTGCCTAAATAGAAGATACTTCAGGATTGGAAAGTCAATTCCTATGTCCTTAAGGAATTTTCTGCTCTTGCCCTAACAACCAACTGCTTCTTTAATGTGTCTTGGTTTTGAACTGTTGTCTCTCACAAATTAATATGAGACATTTGGTTTCTATCGGTCAGCAAAATAAAGGTTGCCAGAAATCAAAAACACTACAGACCAGTTGGAAGTAATTCCTGTCCTCCCGCTCTGGTTCAGATTAGGTGGTTGACAAGTGACATGAGGACCGTGGTCCTGTTGAGGAACAGTGACAAGTGACTGTATCACCCATGGCTCTTACCTTAGGAGTTCGGGTCAGAGACCCACGATCCCCATGTCATCGGCCGGGGAGACATAGGAGGAAGGGACTGGCCTAGTGGGTGTTCCTCCAGCCCCCTAGCGCAGTGCTGTTTCTCCCACATGCCTGGACATTCAAAGCACATTTTCTTCACAACCTGGCAAAGTACATGAGAGAGTTTGGAGGAGCAGCACCCTTGGGGCTGGTGGAGGAAGTCATGGTTTATGTAGCTGCAGTTGCGCACCATGTCCATCAGCGGGGGAGGTACGTACACACATGTGGGTATATTAATGAACAGAAGCTTACCAAGCATACACAGCTAGGCCATCTCTCAAACCCCAGTTCCCTAAGAATGAGCTCAGCTTCTCTTCACAATAAATAACAAACCTAATGTGGCATTCAGCATTCATCTGTGCTTCCTTTCCAAAGTTTCAAACAACTTTCACAAGAAGCCCATTTCTATTTCATCCCAAAGCATCATGGTCTGTAGGGTACCTGGAGAGAAGTGTACTGTACCTGCTTGGGTTCCTGAAGGGTGTGAGGAGTGGCCTCAGAGGAGAACAGGGGAGGGAACTTGCGGTGGGCAGAGTCCTGCCCCTTACCACCTTATCTGGAGTCTTGAGAATCCAGTGAGAGGAGGTGTGGCAGGGCCCTTGGCTTGAGAGGTTGATGTTCAGGTTGAGGCAGGATGGTTCTCCCTTTAAAGGGCAGGAAAGAAGTTCATGGAGTGGGTCATTTTTCCAATGCCTGTCGTCATGATGGATGAGATCCCAGCAAACCTGAGACTCTAGTCCCCGCTGGCCCATGTGCACAGCACACATGTACTTCTAAGTGCCAAGAGGAACAGAAGCGGGTTGTGGAAAGAGCCTTGGTCTGGGTTATTGGCAGAAAAGAATTCAAACCCCGTGCCATGCATGCTTTCCTGACTTCTTGATTTGGGGCAGGTTAAATTCTTAGGCTGATAATCCCTGCCTGTCCTAATTAATAAAGTTGTTTTAGGGATTAAATACAGAGAAATTCTGCATAAAGTGTAATATATTTTACAAATGCAAAGTGTCCTTTTTCCTTTAGAAGCAACATCTTTGTCTTTACGGATATATACTCCAAGATTGCCCTCAGTTTCTTAAGATGACATTTATGATACGATGTTAACAACAAGGTCAGCCATGGATTGTATTTAATCTAAAAATAAAAGCAGATGGTGGAAGATAAAAAACAGAAGATTCTACCTTTTTTCCGTTTTGGCACAAGTGAAAAAGTGAGGTCTTTAGCCTGGGGTTGATCAATATGACTTTTCCTTTGAACTTCCTTTTTTCTTTATTACCGTTGAGCTTTTGGATTTAAATGTTGGCTTTACCCTCTGCTCTTATTATAGGAAATTGATGGAAAATCCCTGCTGTTGATGACAAGAAATGATGTGTTGACAGGACTCCAGTTGAAGCTGGGGCCTGCTCTGAAAATCTATGAGTACCATGTAAAGCCTCTGCAGACCAAGCACTCGAAGAGCAGCTCTGCATAGCACCGTCACCTGGGGCCTCGGACCTCAGGAACTATGTAGCGACCTAATTTAGTTTCATGTGATGAAACTTTGTAAGCAAAATACATACATGTGTATTTGGAAAAATTCCAATCAAATGAAACGTTATCCTATTGGATAGACTAGGCAATCCATCGGCTGACCTGAATTCAGCCAGGAGCAGCGGGGACGACATTCCACAGGATGGTTTTCCTTGTGAGTTTGTCAGCGAGAATGATGTTTGACATGACGAGGCACCCCTCCCCACAAAGGGGACTTTCTTCATAGGTTGCTTCCCCAAAATCCTTAGAAAGGGATGGAATGTGCATCTTTCAGTCACAAATGTAGGAAGATTAAAAACAAGAAAATGGTGGGAGGGGTAGAAAAGAGAAAGGGACTCCTTTGAATTCCTCCGCTCCTTGGAGCTTGTGTTATTTGGATGGAATTGCCGACACCCCTTTTTATAGAGGGTCCTCCACTTGACCTTATTAAGGTTTCACTGGGATATGCTGCGATGTTTGCAATGAACATGTGTCACATGGCCCCTCAGGAGCAGCACCGTAGCTCTGCAAAGAGAAATCTGCTGTGCACCCGGGGTATACATCCGTATTCAGCTAGCTTTCACAGGGGCTAATGGTTTCTTCTGCCTAGATTTGCTTTTAAATTGGTTCTTGGTTTCTGAAGAAAGCATTTTTTCACTTTATTTTTGTTTGTATTTATAATAATTTGTTTGTGAAGGAATTTGTCAAGAGTTACAGATCATAAGGCCTTGTTACTAGTACAGATTATTTTTATATTCCTTCATGATGGTGTAATATTTTTTTAATTGCTCTGGTGCTTTGTTTGATTTGTGGTTTGAACTTTTTTTTTAAGAACTTGAAAAAGTGGGCTTCCTACATCTCTGTTCCAAGAGACATTTGTTCAACCTCTGTGTGTCGATGCCTTGTTGAATTGGTGCTTTGTGGTTACAATAAAGCATTGCTTCCATTTATTCCTAGTGCATCTCAAATCTTTTCCTTGGTTGCCTCTTCAGTTAGGATTAAAGATTAAGGTTGTGCCCTAACACTATGGAAAGAAAGTTAAACCTTCCAAAAAAATGTAAGACTTTAGATATGAAAAACACATACGTCTATATGTTGACTTATCTTCTTTATAAAGTGAATTGTCCAAGTAGGCCTCGTTCTTTCTTTTACCCCCACCCAACAGCCAATTTTAGATGTCATATTAGCCAAGCATTTGTTTTTCTTTCTGTAGGCCAGTTGGGTGGGGGGGAGGTTTGCAGTTCTATTGGTCTTTTCTCCAGGCAAAAACTCGTATTTCCACATACAAAACTGCAGAGTTGATGAGCTCCCTGAACTTCCCTCCTCCCCCTCCTCAAGTTGTGTCACTATTTTAGAGAATGTTGTAATTCAGATCATTTCTCTAAAGAGCACAAAGTCTGAATACAAGAGTGGACAAAGCATAAGAAATGGTAGGGTGAGTGGAGTTCAAAAATGCATTCTGAATTAAGTCAGTTATGGAGTTCAGGGAGTGTCTGTTTTGTAATGCTTTGTAATTTATGTAATGCTTTGTTTTGCATTGTAAGCAGGAGAAGGAATTACAAAAGGGACATTTTCCATTCCCACGTTCTCACAATCTGCAAAACATATAAGACTACAAGGCAGAATATAGTTAAGTACTGTGAGGAGTGAGAGTCACAGAAGCTGTGATCTGCACCTGCTGGAGACCTGGGTGGGGAAGTAGGGGTGAGAGAGCAAAGAGAAGGGAGATGGAGTGAAGAGCTTAACGTCCCTGTAGGAGTTTCTCACAAGGGATTCAGTGGGGATGTTCCAACCCTCTCTACTCAAAGGCATAGCGTGAGGAATGCTGAAGCCCTGCTTCTGTGCATCCACCAGATGCCCCTGTATGAGTCTGGAACCAATTTGGCTGCGAGTGATAAAGAACTGCCTCCCCTATCCTTGCCTTCACTCCACCAATTAATGTAAGCAAGACAGAAGCTTGTTTCTGTTCATGTAAATGTCCAGATTGTGGAACAGTGAGTCTGTGGCCCTCCATGATGTTAGGGACACAGACTCCTCCTGTCTTTCTACCCCATCATGCAGGCTATTCATTCCCAGAATAATTTCACAGCCCAAGATAGCTGCCTCAGCTCTCACCATCACCATTTGAATTCCGACCAGTGGGGAGAAGAAAAGGGAAAAGAATATACCTCTTTCTTTAAAGACACTTCCAGGAAATTGTACATGCTACTTCCTTTATATCTTGCCATCCACAACTCAGTCAGAATGCCATACCTAACCTGCAAGTGAGGCTTGAAATACATTTTTCTTTTTCTTAGAGCCTATGGGCCCCCATAAATTTCAAAAGTCCCATTCTGTAGATAAGGGAGAAGGGATATTAGGGGACAGATTCCTATCACCACTGTCAGCTGGCCTTTGAACACCTGGTGCAAATGACACTGAAGGTGTGTCTTTAGTTGTATTTTTCTCTAGACTTGAACTGGCGTTCACACTCCCTTCAGTCTCTGGATGTTTTTATCTCAGTCACCTTTCACAACTACTGGAAGCCTTATTTACTAATCCCAACCTAACTCATCTACAGCTTTAGACCTGGGCTCCTATATAAATGCTTGTCAGGAAGCAAAAAAAAAGGGGGGTGGGGGAAGGAAGCAAGCCAAAAAGTATCAAATCAAATCATTCCTCAGCCTCTGTTAACAGCTTTCAGGCAAAATTTAACAAATTAAAGATAGCTTACCTTTTGTATGCCAGAAAAAGGCCTGTGACAAGCAGACCTGAGTGCCTCAGCAATAACTGAAAGGGTTCCCGCTCCACGTCCCTTCTTGCTCCCAATCCAGGAAAAAGCAGTGTAATCAAAACAGGCCATGGAGAGCAGCTAGAAGTACTTGAAATTCAGCAGGTAGGCAGCCTGTCTCCAGACAGCTGTAAAACCAGAGACATCTGATACCGTGTCAGATCACACTGCATTTGGGGCTGCAACTCATAACAAATACGCACGCTACGTGGGGAAGCACTTCATGAGTGTAAGTGGAAACGAATGGGCCTTGGTGCCAATATGTTTTATGTGAGAATTGTTTAATGTTGAATTTGATGTTTCTCAACCAGAGAGGCAGACAGGATATCAGAATCATGGGGAATTTTAAAAAGTAATTGCTACACCACCTCCCCTCCCAAACCCACATTTGAACTTCAGATTCAAACTTGACAGAGAACATTTAATGAGCTGATTTAAAGGCCAGGTCACAAATTGGCCACTTTTCAGTGGAATCTAAGCTGACGTGTTTCTCTTCGGCCAGTGCAGTATGTGTGTATTTTCACAACTCCATTTTCATTCTTCTAGAAGAGGCCAATATCTCCAGTTTATTAACAATCTCTTTAATTCCCTAATACCTTACAAACAGCAACTATGTAATTTCACATTAACAGTCTGGACCCTGAAGGTATTGAAATTTTGACCCTAAATCTAAAGCAATGAACACACAGAGAGCCTCCTAAGAGTATATTAATTCACAAAACTAGAAATTGCAAGTAGATTTAGAGGAAAAGAAAACAAGCTGGCAGACTGCATTGCAATGTGCAGCAGAGTTGCCCATCATTTTTGATAGTTAGTGCACATGATGAATATGAATAAGAGGCAAATTGGTGGCAATCTCCTTATTCTGTCCTCAAGAACTATCCTGTATGCGAGCATACACCATCAGGGAAACACACTGTCCTTCCATTGCATTAGTGAAATATATCTTTGGAGGAGTTTAATTTAGAAAAGCCTTATGACCCACAGTTGCCCAACCACTCCCATGCTTGGAAGCTGAATGCAAAAAGTACTTACTGGTGGTGATCCATCTGCCTTGCATGGCCAAAGCAAATGGAATCGGCAGGGGTCAGGTCTGGGCACAGAGCCATTAAGTGTTTTCTGTAATGATTTGAAGGATTAAGTTAAATGTTCACAGAACTGACTGCTGTGGGACAGATATGCTTCTTAGTAGAAAACTTGTTAATTCTCCTTGCAAATCAGGAACAGAAACTACAGGAAGAAGGGATAGAGCAATGGGTGTGCTAATGAGCAGCTTGTTAGCTTCATGCTGTAGCTCTATAGGCAATGAAGTAGCTTGGGTACCATTTCTGACCAGTAGCAGCAGTTCGAGAGAGAGAGAGAAAGAGAGAGAGAGAGAGAGACCAATCACCCACATTCATTTGGAGACTGTGGCTGTCATCTGTTTGTGAACCTTAAGACTGATAGCCTAGCACTGGGGCAGAAGAGTGGATGGCCCTGTGAGTAAAGCAGAGGTTTTCGGTTATCCAGAAGTAGGAAGCTAGGCTGATGTCTCTCTCCCTCAGTTAGGTAGGGTGATCCTGTCTGCAGATGTCTTTAGGGAGAAATGAGGTAAGCTGGGGATGCAGGTAATATCCAAACAGAAAATAGGCCCCTCTTCCAGTACATGGGCAGACCTACTACATTGATCATTGCAGAGATGGAAAAGAGGTCAGTGAGGATAGGTGTCCTGAACACACTTATTACCCATGACCTGGCAGCCAAATCTACAAACAAGATAAGGGAACACATCGCACAAAACAGCCTGTGCCATCACCTAGGCACCTTAGGTCACAGAGCTTAGAGGCTTTAAGTTTCTGGAAAAGTCAGGAAAGCAACCAAGGAAAGATCTGCCCCACGGGTCTCCAGTACTGTTATCTGAGGATGTATCTATGGCAAAGTTTTCAAGTTAAATGTCTTCTTTCTGAATTAAAGGTAGCAGAATCATTCAGCCAATTGTGTTTCTCTTTTCAATGGATTACACTCCCATTTTTATATGCTGGGAAATACACAATTTGAAAATAAGACTATAAATTCACCAGATTATAAACATATTTTGAAGAAAACTCAGTAACACTCTTCAAACAACCATCAGTTCCTGCTTTTAAGAATTAGTATTGAACACAGTATTCTCGCTCCTGTGCCAGAACCCAGTGACCCCAGTGAGATGCACTGTGGTACAGTGCGTGGGAGTGCAGGGGCTTCAGGTAAATCTCAGCTTGAATCCAGCCCCACCATGTGCTTGACATGGGAACCTGGGTAAGTTGCATGGCACCTTGGGTACCTCATCTGTTCTCTCATGCAGACACAGATCCGAGTAAGGCAGTGCTACCCTGGCACTGTCCAGTAGAAATATAATGTGGGCCATATATGTAATTAAAAATGTTCTGGTAGCAGCATTTTAAAAAGTGAAAAGAAGCAGGAGAGTTAAATAATAGGTTCAACCCAATTTATCCAAAATATTCCCATTTTCATATGAAATCAATATAAACATTATTAATGATGTACTTTACAATTTTTTTAAATGTCTTCAAAATCTGCTGTGTATTATGCTTTATGGCACATCTCAGGACAGAAAAGCTCAAGTGTATCAGTTAGACTTCGTTTCAGTTGAAAACCCAAATAATAGGGACTTAAGCAAGTAGGATTTCTCTACTTTGTGAATGAGTCTGAGGTAAGCAGATGAGGTCAATGTGGCTACCCCATAATTGTTGGGGCACAGTCTTCTCCTAGTATGTTCCTCCACCATTCTCAACATATAGCTTCCTATGTGGTCTAAGATGGCTGCTTAAGCTTCAGTTATCACAACTGCATCCCAGCCAAAAGGAGAAGGAAAGAGGGTAGCTGTTATGATAAACTACATGTAGTATTTCCACTTTCTTTAACAAGAACTTAAACTAACATACCTAGATGCCAGGGAGGTTGGGAACTGTAAGCTTTCTTACATGGATCCAGCTAACAAGGATGGGAAGACAGACACTGTGGGGAAGCTGGCAGTTATTCCCTAGTATCAGTCTCATAAGGTCAATGGAAGAATGAATGAGAGTACATTGCACAGTTATTAGTATTACACGAAAAGTGTATTAAAGTATGATTCTAATACCATAATCTCACTTGGCCATTTCAAGCCAGCCAAGAGTCACAGAATTAGCAA